GTGTAGCATGGTTCAGCTTATGGTCCTTGACACTTGAGTGACTTCTGGGAAGGATTACTCGAATCCACGCAGATTTACATTCGATCCCATCTTGTTAAACATACTCTTATTGACTCTCAGGTACCAATTACTTAATTATTAACCATTCACGTTGCCGTTTAGCACTTTATGTTGTGACGAAGAAACCTTTAACTGTACAGTACAAATTGAACTATTTGGGGCATTTTATACTTTTGGTATAATTTCCTAAATTAGAACTGTTTAAACTGACCACAAAGTTTGTGTTTTGATGTGATGATGATGTGATGAGAGTCAATCCAAAATTATTCGTACGCTCTACAGATTAACTAGGTTTGACCTAACCAAATAAAGTTTGCTTCGTTAGCTCTGAATATAGACTAAACACTGGAATTGTGGTCGTTATAAACCCTCTCATTAAGCCATCCACTGTACGTTTACAGTGTGCAGCTTGTGATTGTGCTAGACATGCAAAATAAGATTAACCTTGAAGGAAGTTGAAAGCATAGCATTCCTAGATCATTAAGTTGCACCGAACGATACTACCACCACCTTCTTGAGATTTGATAAGCAATAACTACTTACTGTTGAGACGGCTTTAAAAAGCACGTTGAAGGTTCCAGAGAATCTAGAGGAGTCGAAGAGATTCCATCCATTCACAACCTGATAAAGCCTTCTAGGATATCAACATTGTATGCTACAATTGGACAATAGCATAACTTGCCTCCTTACAGATTGGCTGAATTGTAATTATGTTATAGTCAACAGTAATAACTACAAACAGACATGTTTTTCCGTACATTTTTGATTCCTACTCAATTATGGCCTCCCCTGCTCCTTCCATTTTCTGATTTACAATTTTAAGTTTTTACACTGTTGAGTGCCTTTAGTTTTATATAGTATTCGGCCGTAAGTGAGTGGAGAACGTAACACTAACTGTGATCAGTTAGCTCATTATAGTATTCTGGCACTCGAACAAGTAGAGAAAGCAAGGGTTTTCCTAGTAAAACATTTCTAGTAGCGAAACTAACTCGATCAACAAAATACATAAGTGTCTATTGACTCCTTATATGTGCTTCGAGTTTTACCGTCGGTTGTTGATCACAGTATGATTAAATGGTGATGGTGTTGGCAAAATATCTGGTCTATGTAGTTTTACATATTCAATGATGAACGACATTTATACAACACAGAAACTGTAAGTCGGATTGGAGCGCGTGTATTTTTAACACTCATGAAAGTCAGAAAACTAAACTAAAGTGAATAGATGCAGAGAGAATAGGCTCCTAAAATCTATCTCGTGGCCAGTGGGTGACCTGGCTCTCAGATGAGGTGAATAAAGTATGAATTATAGTTAAGCAATCAGAAAACACATGACGGACACAGAAGGTAAGCACGAGCAAAATATAATAAAATTTATCAGTGGTTGGTCAACGCTTGTGACTAGTGGACTTGATAGAAAGGAAGATCCGTGGATATGGACACTACAGAATGAAGGATACTGTCATGAATATGGGTCAGGGGACTATCGATGTTAACATTAGAAAAACAAACGTGGATTTGTTCGGAAAGATGAAACATCAAAGGTGAGGAGTTTGTGATCTATATCTGTATGTCATTCAAGGCGAGCATACCAACAATGTCATTTTGATGCTCATATGCTTAGAATACTGCCGAGATGACAGAATCATACTGACGTTGTTTTAGTAATAACAGCACCGAGTATTTGGTTGAAGACATTTACTGACCTCCACCAAGTAATAACACATGGAAAGGTAAGATAATCGGAGTACTATCAAAATGACCACACACGGGGTTCGATCACATACCCCACCTCTGAGACTTTTACATCCCATCCATGAATCTCAACAAGTAAGGTACGACTTCTACGTATCGGCCTCACGGGACAGTTTTTGCATTTATTAAAAGTTCAGGACTGAATGAACACTTGGGCAATAGTATGGGATATGAAAATGACAGAAGCCCTTCGAAATTAGACTATTTACTATGGAAAGGTCAGTTTCAAGTCGAGGATGTCCATGTCCAAGCACGAATAGGGAGTAGTAATCGCGGACCAGCTATATACGTTGTGGTTATATACGAGATGCCCTAAATTAGTGAGAGTGATCCCCATATTTGCCACAAAAGAGCGAACTACACGGTCATAAAAGAGCATTTTCGAAAACCCCATGACCGTTCTCTGGAAGACAGAGAGTGATATCATTCGGGGAGCTGTCTTGTACAACGAGTCCTAAGCAAAAAGATACATAGAGATGGAGAGTTCAGGCTTAAGCGATACACAGAACCTTTGCTACTGACAAAATGGAGAGTCAAGTACAGTCGGAAAGTTTCTCCAAGGGAATTTGACCGTTACTCATAATTAGTCTTGTGAAATAGACGCACTGAAAAGATTCAAAACGACAGAGAGTGCTTTCTAAGATGAGAAATAATCGGAAATATCTGTGATTAATAACCAGACGGAGCTTCTATCCTCTCAAATCTCCCAGTGGCGAAGATCTTACCAACCAAGAGATGGAATAAATCTTCGCCGACCAATGGAATCTAGAATCACCAAGTGTGAAACAGTCTTTGGCTCCAGTGTCGGATGATGGCCTGTGAAATATTCATCTAACTCCAGGATTAGTACAAAGAGAACTAAAGTCCCTGTGCTCAAGTAAGTCCCTTTGAAGTGGCAACATCAAAACTATAATCCTGAAACAGTTCACGCAATTCAGTACATAGATATATGACCTGTTCAAGTTTTCACTAGAGTTACAGCAACTTCCAAAAGAATGGGAACTGACTACTATTGCTGATCTTCATTATGGGAGATAAGGAGGACCTAGCCTGCTACATATCAAAAGGATTGCTTTCAGTACTATCAAGGTGATGGAAGGACTGGTGAATGACTGAATGAAGAGATAAATTGAAAAAACAGCGTTCTCCATGAAGTTGAGTAGGAGTTTGGAAGGAACAGATCCCGTACATTCAACCTCCTTACAGCATGGAACAGCTCGACGAATTGCTGAGACCAAAAGTAATCGGTTCATAGGATATTTATTGCTTCCTCAGAAGCATTTGGCGCAATAATGAGCTTAATCTCCATTGTCCTGCTCTATGCTGGCTCTGAAGTCATCTGAAGCACTGACTACTTCACACCAATTAATACAGGTTGATCTGGAGCTAGAAAGTTTCGACGTAGGGAATCTCACAAACAACATTTTAGGTCCACCTCTTTTTATTTTGATCAATAGCCTCCTAGAAAAAGCCAACTCACCGACTGCCACATACGTTGATGATGTCAAGATGTGGAGATCTACAAGAAACGAAAAAGATCCATTTGAGCTCCAAAACGATCTCTCAACAGTGAGCAAATGGACAATGGGAACCTGTTTAAATTTAGCCTGCCAAAATATCATGCTATAAACATTCAGCCCGATGGGACACAAACAACCTACATTGTCAATGAAAATCCGCTCCCAACTGTGCCCTCAAAGAGTGATCTAAAGCAGTTGACTACAGGGACGTTGGACACTAACTCAAATTGCATTGTAGGTGCGGCCAAAGGAAATGCAGCCCTTCACCCTAAGTGAAGATTATTTGACGCAGTCAGCCGAGAATTGGTTTTGGCCCTTTTCAAAGCATATTTGAGGCCCAACTTTGAAGTTCACAAAGTTGTTGAACCTCATCTCTAAAAAAGACACAAGTCTCTTAAACGAAGTATAGAGACAGAAAACTAAGTGAATGATAGGGCTGAGGAACAAATCTTACAAAGGTAGACGCCTAGACTTCAGATTGTGTTCACTGAGCTAAAGAAGAATAAGAGGTGATCTGGTGGTGGTACGCATAACACTAGGTATGACAAGTCACCTGAACACAAATATACTATTAGAACACCATTATCACACTCTACGAGATGATCTCCAGGAAAACGCACGTCAATAAAGAATCGGGTACTCTTCCGATTTTCTTCACTAAGAGTTGCTTCTGTTTCGAAGGTCCTTCCAGGTGAAGTGACCATAGCCTATTCAGTGGACGGCCTCAAGAGGAGATATGACAAACACGTACTCACGTCTGGACCAACTGTACCTGAATCATGCTTCATAACCTATCTTCCGTTAACATCTTCACATATGACTAACTTATTCCTGTCCTCTTATTATGATATCCGTTTACCTTTTATTCTTACCTTTCCGTCTGCTCACACCATCTACATCGCTAATTATTTAGCTTATTTACTTCTTGAAGCAATCGTCAATATTAGCATTCAACTTTTTCTTTCATTATTTTCCAGATTACAATCAACCGACCAGAGTCTGATCGATCTGATATTTGCGAGTTCCGGAAACCCTAATGCCCTAAGACAGACTCGCTCAAATTATGAGATAAACAAACCAACAAATAGCTGACAAACTGACTCGAGCGAGTGTGGTCGTGCCACTAGACTACCTCTCACTGGAGATTAACAAGGAAATGAAACTGTAACAAAAAGGAGAAGTGAGAGCAAAGAAGTTATTTGATTTAAGTAAGCTCATAATAGAGACACTAGATATTTAAATCAGTCGACTTTCTTAGTGATTACACTGACAGCCTAAAATACTGAAAAGTAAACCGTCATAATACTTCGTCCGTTATCATACTGCAGGTTAGGGGTGATATAATATTGGCTTATCGTATAATGAACGATGACCTTGGTATTATTATGTCCTATCTTTCCCTTCCCTCTAGAACTGATAATTTGAGACGACACTCTAGGAAAGTTAAAAAAACCGAGATCAAATCGTCTACGTCTGGCGTTTCGTTTCTCGTACCGAGTAGTGAACTACTGGACTTCCCTACCGGAACACGTAATATTATCACCTTCTGTTGATATATTATAAATGAGATTGGACCTCCACAGTGCTACAAAATGCAAGGATTAATATAGGTTGATAGACCTCCCATCCTTAATACTGAGGACTGAAAGTTGCGGCTATTGTAAAATGAAGGTCAAATTGAAAAAGAAAAGTGCGAAAAATGAGGTTGTTCAGTCTGGTGATTAATACTTACTGCCAATTTAGGAAGAAAACGAGGAAATGTATGTCAGATTAGGAGATGTACCTCTGGACATATTACGGTATAATATATCGATGCAATCAGGAATAGAACGAAAGGAAACTCGCAAATCCCTACTTCTCAAAATGGGCGCTAAGAAACCGAAAAACCCATACATTAATTACAAAGAACTCATGCAGAATAAGGCAAAGGCTAAGGCCGAGGCTGAAGCGTTTGCTTTCGATGTAAGTCTTACTAATTCGGTACTGAGTATGCGGTAATTGTAATAGCGCAGTGCTAGTTTCGTCAACAAAAAGCTCCCTTTAAAGCAGGCAAAAAAGAAACGGAAAAACCAACAGAAAGACAGACCAAGAAAAAAGTTAGTTTTTGATGTATTATATGTTTATAATTTAGAGTATCCAAGCCACGGAAGCATCGCTAACACCTGATATTATGTAAACGTATTTCAATAATCAGATTTGTATATAGTCTTATCGAAAATTTGCTTTTTGGAAGGCCTAAATAAATGCTTCTCGGTAATGTTTAGAGTTTTTGAGCCACTCAGTTCGGGATCCCAAGTTTCACAATAAACCTTTCTGTACCCTCGTGACATGACTGTTTCTAATGTTAGGTTTTATTTGGATTTTTAGCTGGCTAAAACCTACTATAGACTTACTGTGGTCACATGGTATTGGTACAACCCGTCAATAGAAGTATAGGCTTTTAGTCCTGGAATACCTCCATTACTGGTATACGCATCTTAGGACTTGCTTTTTTTTTACATGAACTTGACTAGTTTCTCCATTAGCGCCAGAGCTTGATATTGCCAAGTTTTATCTTCATAGTTACATCGCATTGTGTCTGGAAGCTGCTGTTGCTTGAACCGTTTTTCACAAAAAATCGAAGTATTACAGTTGCTCTTAATAGTTTTATCAACCGTTTTTGCGTTCGGGTGTATATCATATAAATAACATATTTGTCCTACTTTGAATGGCTAGTATTCCTGAAATTGTTTAGTGTTCATGGGTCTACGACGGTAAAACTGGTCAGTTTTTAGAAAATCTAATCTGTACCTGTGTGAGGTGGTTAATTAGATTTAATGTACTGATATCACACGCTTGAAAGGGCGTACTATGTCATCTGTTTTTTTGCCGTAAAGCCTACTGACGTAATAAACCAAGTTAATGCAGTATAGATTTACGGGTTGAGTACAGATCATAAGAAACAAGCTGGTATGTATTTCCCATAAATAATGGTTAACTTTCTATTGTGCTTACAAGAACGTCTTAGTGATTTTCGCGAGATACTTTGTCTGTTGAGACATTCCAGTATCTGTATTGTAGTTTACACCTAAATGTTTTTTTTTTCTTCAGTCTAGTATCTTCAAAGTGGTTCTATTCATTTTTATAAAATTCGTGGCTTGGATTTATGTTGTAGCTTTCAGGATTCACCTGTCTTGCATTAATTAGGACGTATATTTTTTAATTTATGTGCTTTGTTGCCGAAATTCTGCATCAGTTTTCTTGTATATTAGATTTCCACCATTTGGGTGAGAACGGAACCACATGGAAGTACTAAGGTGGTAAATAAACAAATATAACACATGGGCTGGATTCTTCAAATCCTTTTTTACTTTCCAGAACTGGTGATTATGATTTCCTATGGCAAATGCTTTGGACCAGTGTCCGTTAAGTTTGACTACGCACTTATAATTTTCAACTAATGAACTCGAAGCTTCTTACAACACGAATAAGATCGGAAAATCGGAGGATTTGCATGTAGAAAGTAAAACAGTTAATCAGTATGGTAATTTCCCTTAAGATACTAGTCGTGAGACGAAATGTCATCTCCCACTGACTGGCTACTGGTTTTTTAATGCAAAGGTGATTGTTGACGGTGTTAATAGTTCTCAAAAGAGTTAGGCCATAACTAGGACTCTTGAAATCTTGTTTGCCAGTTCCAGAAAATCAGTCTTATTTGTTGAGATCTTATTATCTTCTGTTGCCCTGATGCTAATTCTAAGCACCACTTAAAAATTCATATTCTCACACGCTTAATAGATTTACCCCATTTATTTATCAAAATTAGCATTAGGGGATTTAATTTCATTTCTAACTAGCCCATCAACAAACAAACGAACTCGGCTTGTAGTAAAAAAGTTATTATCTTTTCCATAAACTTTTTATCTTCCTGTCGATGTTTATTTTGTGATATCATGGGTAATAATGAAACTGCCGGGTTCTGAGTCTGATAATTGATGCCTTTCTGCTCGTGTATTGGCAGTTGAGGCGAGTGACCATATCACTATTCCATAGCTAATAATGAATTCACTAAAAAAACAACTCAATCGAGTTGTGTGAAGAGTGTGTAATCTGACTAAATAAGGTTTTCAGGAACTTAGTAATTTTAATGATGAAGCGTTAAATAGTCTTTAAGTAGGCGAACATTTTACATTGATATGGTAATACTACTGCAAACAAACTCATCATCTTTGTATAACCAAAATGTATTCGGATGCTCGACGTCTTACATGAAGTTATTTGCAACAGATCTAGATCCTAGTTCGTTACAAGGATGGTTTGTAATTAAATGTGAATGAGAATGTCTTGAAATGTAGTGACTCGTGTTTGGTAATCGAATATTTAAAAAAAAACAAGATTTGATCAAACGATTTTGTGTTTTAATTCATTTTCAAAACAAATTCCAAATAATGACTAGGCAAATATTAGAAAAAGCTCTGAACAAATAGGTATCGTACAACGATTTTTCAGTAATCGTAATTTCACATTTGTACACGTTCGTGTAGCGAATATGAGCTGAACTCAGTTCGTGTTCCACAAGAAGAAGAGGAATCGGAGAATTAAGGGGGAAAACACAGGACATAGGAGGGGAGCCAACTGGATATTGTGTAGTTATTCTTCCCATTTAGGGGTAACATTTTTTACTTGCAAATTGATAATCAGACTAGAATAATTTATGATTTACTAGAAGTGAAAGTATGAATATAAGAGAATTTATTAAGATAGGATTGGATCAGCTGATTAAGGTATATTACAAAGTGATGTGATTTAATATGGTTTACAATTTACTAAATTTATTCACACTGATGTAAGCAATGTGTGCATAAACGTGTGTCGTAATAGTGAAATATGCTTTTCGTAGATTAACAGTAATAACAGCAGTAATAATTATTATATTTGCACTATTACTTTCTTTTTTGAGTTTATATTTGTCAAAAACGATATCAGTTTAGCTTTAAAAGGTGAAAAGATGTTAGTAAAATTAATGGTAATAGTACTGATGGGATGAGAAAGGGTTTTAGTGCACATTATAGTGATTGTTTCATAATGATTAAATTAGTTAAAAGACATAGTGGGGATACTTAACAATTATTTTCACATATCGTATTTGGGCCAATTTAATATAGGAAACTGATTTGTTTTTTTTTCAAATAATGATAATTTATATGCTCAAAATATTACAGATACTATTACTCTTAGTTGTCACCCTTTGATTTATCTTCTCTTGGACGTATTGTAGAATCACTTGTACTCCGGTTTATTGTAGCTGTACTATCTCTTGACTCATGCCATGTGGAACGACTAGCAGCAATCGGTGTTCTGGGTAGGGAAGATTGCTCCAACGGACTAATATCTGTATTTGTTGTGATATTTTCTTCAGGACGTTGTCTATTTCTTTCATCACTATGATATTGGGTCGAGGGGTTTGCTTTATCTATTTTGGTCGTTGATTGATATGGTCTTGATTCAATAAATGATCTTCTTGGTTTTATTAATAAATTTGATCCCGTTGATCGGTTCAATCTAGCAGGTATTGAGCCTGTTAGTTGGTAGTAGTATGGGTCATATCTAGATGGTGCAGTAGTTGGCTTGTACAGTCCCACCAAAAATGAATCCTATGAATTATAAAAGTATAATTTAGTATTGAATGTGATCACGTGTGAAATGAATTTATAGTTTACAGTTTCATTTTCGCATCAGTTTCATTATTTAATTTAAAAATGTAATTATCGAAATCTTAGTTTTGGTAGAGTTCTTGTACGTGAATTTGAACTTGAGACTTTTTAACAATGCTTATCTCTGGTGATTGTACATCTACATTGGTCTTAGTTTCGTCCAGGATAAGACGAATGAGTTCTTGCTCTCGGATTCCCTTTATGTGTCTACGCTAATTTAATATTTATGTCCGCTTCTTTAAACTGGAACGTCTTTTTTATTATTCATTTAACTAAATGTTATTCTCCACAAGTTTGTGGAACTTAAAATTTTGAATGATATCCTTGACTATACAGTAGACTGGGAATTATGTTTTCTGAGTGATATTATTTGTTAAAATGATTGTTTAACAACAGTTATATTCCTTTTTATCTAATTACGTTAACTTGGAAGTTGTGAGCTATTTACAGTTGACTGAAATCCTTAACTGTATGGATGACCTTATCAACTTAAAAACGTCCTCAAGTATATCTAGACCATTTTAATTGATTCCCAGTCTCATTAATTGTTCATTCATACGCATGATCAATATAATATAGATTTTCCTGTTTTCCTCTTACCTGTTGACGATTATTATCTATTGAAGATTTCATTTCAGTATAATCATATCCTGTTGTAGTTACTGAACTTCCATAACTTGTTAAACTTGGCTGACTTTGATTAACAGAAGATGGATTCTTTAAGTAAAGTAATTGACGTTTATTTGTTTCATGAGTTAGTTGATCTTTGAGTTGTTGAATCTGTTATGAACACAAAGAAAGATAGGTAGAAAGTGAATTTAATAGTCTATTCCTTTATAGTACTTAATAATATGAAGTTTTAATGATAAGAAAATGTATCAACAGGTCGGCTAGGGTAATACTACCATTGTATCTTGAATTTTCGTTGTAACCGTTTTTAGTTTATATATATATATATATATATATATATATATATATATATATATATATATATATATATATATATATATATACACGCCCACACTACATTACCATATTTTCTCATATAATGTATTTCAGTAAAACAATCAACGATATCTTGAGTTGAAATTATTTAAAATACATAATGAAGCTGGTTGTAAGCCAATAACTTTTCAGCTTGTATATTCAATATTGGGTTAGCACATTTACAGTGTAATACTGGGAAAGTTATTATTACCTTAAAATATTTTAGTAATCACCATAAATTAATAGTTTTACGATCGTAAAAGACTAGATATTTATTTCTTGATTTTATTGATTATCCAAACGGATTCGAATTTTTGAATGGTTCTTGCGTAGTATGTCTGTTGCAGTGATAAAAATCAAGGTCAATCCCTTATGGCTTATGTACCTGACAAAAAAGTACTAATCTTCTTACGAGT